GGCGGGGCTCGGCTCGGGGACGGAGCGGAAGTCGGGCAGGCGCGGTTCACCGCGTTTCGGTTGTGGCCCCGGCCTGTCCTGTATGAGCGTCGGCCCCGGAAGAACCGCTCCCTCACTCCCGGGAATGCCCACTCACCATTTCCGATGGACGGGCCTGCGGGGCCGCGGGGCGCACTAGCCGGGGTCTCTGTCCCCTGGAAGGAGAGAAAGAGGTGGGACCCGCCCCCCGAGGCCGCAGGGGCGCGGTGCCGGCCCAGGGCCTATTCCGGGTACCGGGGAGCATCTCGGTAGGAGTGTGTCCTACGCAGGACCCGGGACGTACTTGTAGTTGAAGTCGTTGTTTTTCTGACATTCAGATTTAACCGGGCGCCCCGCATGTCACTGGCTGAATCGGGCTCAAATTGTGACTTTAGAGAATGTGTGTTTCTTAAGCAACCTGGGGGTTCGAAGGCGTGGAATTCAAAACAACTGACATCCAGAGATGCCGTGCGGTTCTGAACGCTCGGCCCGTTTCTCTACCCGTTGATCTCTCCTTCCCCCCCTCGCACGTGTGCGCTCTGGGCAGTTTCCGAAATGAAGACACGATGATTGTCTTCACATTTTAGTAAAGTTGAATGTTTTCTGCCTCTCTGTGATCTTTATCACAAGATCAGATTTGTATTTCTTGGAAGCATGAGAGTTCCCTGCTGACCTAGTGGTTAGGATTCCGAGCTTTCAATGCCTTGGCCCGGCTTCAATCCCTGATCGGGGAACTGAGATCCAGCGAGCCACACCGCGGGGCGAAAAAAAAAAAAAAAAAAAAAAAAAAAACCCCAAAAATATCTCCAGATGTTACTTAGATTTTTTTTTTTTTTTTTTTTGCGGGGGGGCACATCTCCACGTGCTGCCTTCTAGCCATGGACAAACAGGAGTTCCCAGGCACTGCTCAGGATTCTTGGCTCCTTTATTAAACTGGTAAGTTCATGACGTGTAAACAGGGCTGAGCTTCCAGCCAGTACCCCCACACAGGCTCTCCGGGCCAACACCGATGCTGATTGGGCAGCACCCCACCATATTAGCTGCTAATTATTTCAGACACCACCCCCCCCCCACCGCATGTGTGTCTATAAATAATGTCACCACTGGTCTCTTAATAGCTAATGACAGAATTATCCAGGAATCTCACCATTAGCCTAGCATTTTATTTATAGCTGTCTTGTCTCTGCCAGCCTTGGAGGGCCCTTGGCTTCCTTGCACTCTCCATTCTCCTCCTGAGCCCACTGGAACATCGTGGTAGCATAGAAGACAGGTTTGTGCCCCCCTAGAAACTCCGGCCCTCACCCCTGGGACTTGCCATCTCATGTCAAGAGTGACTCATCACCGTCCCCATCCCCACCAAAAATAGTTAAAGGGACTGACGGTACCAAGTTCGTAGAGGATGTGGCAGCTGGAACCCTCATACATTACTCCCAAAATGGATACAACCATATAGGCAAACTGTTGGGCAGTATTTACAAAGCCTAAACGTGTGAATATGTTTTGGCCAAGCAGTTCCCCGCCCCACCCCACCCCGGGTATACACCCAAGAGAGTGAGAGCTTATGTCCACTAGAGGACACAGACAAAAACACACACACACACAGTGCTGGCTCGTCCAGCAGCTGGAGGACAGCCACTTCCCACTCTCACACGTGTCCATATCTGTGTCTTCGAGAACGTTCCTTAAAAAGTACGTATTGGGGCTTCCCTGGTGGCGCAGTGGTTGAGAGTCCGCCTGCCGATGCAGGGGACACGGGTTTGTGCCCCGGTCCCGGGAGGATCCCACATGCCGCGGAGCGGCTGGGCCCGTGAGCCATGGCCGCTGAGCCTGCGCGTCCGGAGCCTGTGCTCCGCAACGGGAGAGGCCGCCAACAGTGAGAGGCCCGCAAACCGGGAGAGGATTCAACTTGTTTTGCCTGTGGCTCCAAAACCTGTCCGGAAACAAGCTTTACATTCAGCGACAAGGTAAAGCCATCGAATGGAAAACACAAAAAGCAGAAATCATAAAAGACTAATAGGTGTGGCTAATTAAAAAAAAAAAAAAAAAAAAAAAAAAAGTACGTATTACTGGTAACCCAGAAAAGAACCAAAAAGTTGTGCTTTTGTTTTGAGGTTGGCTTATTTCAGGATAGCCTTGCCTAACTGACCTGTGACAGGCATAGGAGTTCCACAAACCTAAATCCTACGGATTAAGTGAAATCATGATTTTCAAATAAAATCTAAATAGGAACTGTAATTCTTAAGTTCTCATGTCTCATGACTTTTTGGGTTTCTCTGACGTTGAGCCCTCAAGTCCCTTCCCAGCCCAAGCCGCACAGCAGTTTTGGTCAAGATCACACCAGGTGCCACTGTCATCATGGCCCTGGACACAGGACTCACTTTTTACCCGGATGGGGGCCCTGCGTGATGTGACACGTTCCCACCGGTGGACAGCATGATGTCAACTCTGCTGCCCCAAACCTTACCCATTCCTCGTAGGACCACAGGCTTCATCGTCACCCTCACTGACTGAGACACCTAGACTTCTCTCTTCGGTGGCTGTGACATCAGCGTCTCAGCTTCCCTTCCCTTCTTCACTGCGAGCTCCTGCAATCTGCTGGGGTACACAGGACCGCTGTCATCCTCCTCCTCACTGTTGTCAGAGCGCTATGAAACGGCACAGCCGAGCCAGGCCACCAGGCTAGGAGAGTCTGTTCGTTTTCAAGTGCCTCTGTCACTGTCTCACCCCCACCTCCAAGGTACCAAGGGCCCCGTCCTAGTGCCTTCCCTGAGATCACTGAAGTGTCCTCTAGGAGAGGCCTCGGCACCATGTTCCCTGCACCCCGTGGCGCCCCATGGGAGCTTGCCTTCCAATAGAACTGTGGAACGCTGGGAACAGGAGAGACATTCCATGGCAGTGGGGCCATCCACCTGGGCTCACACACGCACACAGACCCACACAAATGCATACAGTACATATAAACTATATCTGTGGCGTTAAATTGTCATGGGGAGTATTAGGGGAAAAAAATGTCTAAAAAGGCTCCTTGGAGGGAGATGATAATGAATAAAAGGCTAAGAAACTGCTGATGAAAGAAACCAGACTAAAAAAGCCACATACTATGCAATTCAGTTTGACATTCTAAAAAAGGCACAACTAGGGCTTCCCTGGTGGCGCAGTGGTTGAGAGTCCGCCTGCCGATGCAGGGGACACGGGTTCGTGCCTCGGTCCGGGAGGATCCCACATGCCGCAGAGCGGCTGGGCCCGTGAGCCATGGCCGCTGAGCCTGTGCGTCCGGAGCCTGTGCTCCGTAACGGGAGAGGCCACAACAGTGAGAGGCCCGCGTACAGCAAAACAAACAAAAAAAAAACAAAAAACAAAAAAAACAAAAACAAAAAAAATAAAAATAAAAAAAAAATTAAAAAAATTAAAAAGGCACAACTAGGGATGGAGAAGAGATGAGTGGTTTCAGAGCGGGTCGCTGGCTACGAAAGGGCAGCACCAGGGATTCTGAGGAAGATGGAACATTCTGGATCTCGACTGTGGTGCCTGTTCACAGCTCTATGTGTTGGTCAACTTAGAGAAATTTACTTACACTAAAAATTGACATAATTTATATCTCAAAAAACCTAACCATGAAATAAAAAAGGACAGTCCAGTGATTCCCACTACAGTGCCAAGAACAGCTATGTGTTTAAAATCATGTTCCTTGAGGTATTTTCTCTGGAATCCTCTTCCGAAAAGATTTTGGAAAAGGAGATATTTGTGCAACATCAGAATCCTTTGGGGGGTTTGCAAAACTCGACTGCTCAACCCCTCTCCCCAGAGATCACAGTTCAGCATGCCAGGGCTGGGCAGGCATCTCCCTCCTGCTGAGGACCTGGTGGCGCTGAGCTTCACGCCTACCCACCCTTCGGGAAGCCAAGCCACCAGCTCGAGTGGCAGGCAGTGTTGCTGTTGACACAACAGCCGTTGCCCACTCCTGCCCACCAGGAGCCGGGGAAATGTGCCGAGGACAGGGCCGGTACCAGGGAGGAGCCCATGGCTCTGGAGCTTTGCAGACACCCCGTTCCTGGGCCCCTGCTGAGGTTCTGGGAGTGACGTCCTCCTGGGTAGAGAGGGAGATAGGTGAGGACACAGCACCTCGCCCACCATCTGGGTCCTGCAGGCCAGGTACCACATGACCACCTGCACCAGCTTCCATCTCAGCCTTGACTCCTCATTGCACTGGAGACAGATCATCACCTGATACAGCACCCAAGAGTCAAGGGGAGGCTACCTGAGCCCATTTGGGGGATGTTCTGTTCCGTGACCTGTGCAGGACTGAGACCCTGCCACCCATTCACTGCTGTGTCCCCAACACTTGGCACCCTGTTTGGGGCATGGAGGTGCAGGTACATACCCAGCGGTTCTCCACCAGGTGACAGTCCCCAGGGGAATCTGGCCGCATCTGGAGGCGTTTTTGGTTGTCATGATGGGGGAGGCCAGGGATGCAGCTCAGCCACTACAGCAAGCGGGGTGGCCCAGCACAGAATCACCTGGCCCCAAACGTGGAGACCTCATGACTGGTGGAGAAGCCCCGCCCCAAGCAAGCAGCCGGGCTTGGGGACTGAGAAGCTCTAGGGGCCTAGGCAGCAGCGGGGCTGGTTTCCCCTAAAAGATCTTGTGTCTGGGGCTCGGCCTAGGCTGAGGGTGCGTGTGCGTGCCACGACAGCAGGACCATCGGGTGGACCTCAGGTCTGCTTCTCAGGTCCGCCTCTAGGGCCCCTCGTGGGTGTCCTGGGTGACCGGCTGCCTCCTTCCGAGTCCGCTCCCCGAGAAGCACCTGCTCATCCCAGGGCGGGGCAGAGCTGCCAGCCCTCCCCTCCCCAAGTTTCCTGAAAGGCGGCCTTCCATCACTCATGGATTTTCAAGTCAAAGTCGGGGGAAAGGTCTGAAAACTTTACCCAAGTGGCGTATCTTTCTTTGTTGTTTTCACCTTGCTGGCTGGGGTCACACAGCGTGCAGCGACTCTACGTGCCCACTAGAGGGCGGGCTACAAAGGGACCCGGTCACAGGGACGCCGGGCTGGAGGGGAGCACACTCCCCAGGGCCACCAATGCAGCCTCCTGCCGCGGGGAAGGACGAGCACGGTGCCTGCAGGGATGGGGGTGATGCGACGCCCCGGATGGGGGAGGGGACCTAGCCCCAACCCTTCTCAATGCTCCAGGCCCAGCTGGATGGGAACATGAGGTACTTTTACTTCCTACATAAAACATTTGAATTTTTCACAAGAATATTACTTTTGTAAACAGGTTAAAATAATACATAAATGAGCTCCTCAGCTGTATGCCCAGCCACTGAGCACATGCCCTGCCCTATCTATCCTGCCCTTCTGTTCTCAGAAACAGCAACTTACTTACACTTCAGACTAAGAAAACCCACTTCGGACCTGCCCTCAGGGCTGCCTTGCTGGGGAGGGGGACACATGTCCGCTGGGTCAAAGGGAGGGATCCAGGGACCCGCAGTTGTCTGGGTTCCCCGGGGGTCAGGCACCACTCCGTTCCATAACTGGGAAAATCAAAATTTTGTCAAAATCAAGTGTGAAAAGCACAGGCCCCTGGGGAGGCCCCCCACCCGTGCCCCAGTCCGCTCCCTCGACCCGCAGCCCCCTCCCACGATCGTCCCCTGTCCACATCCATAGGCCACGTTGCTTAGGGCTCCTGCCTCCATCTGAAGCACATCCCGAAAGAAACAAATTACAAAGCACACAATAAGATTTCAGAAGCTGCTTTATGGAGAAACAACCCCGCATGGTTGTCGTGTCCGGGTCACAAGCCGGTGCCCAGGCTCGCGGCAGCTGCTTCCTCGGGTCCCGGCCCTGCCCCAGCCGCACCTGGCAAGCCCGAGCGGATGCCTGAGAGCGACCACAACTCTTTCCATCTCCACTGCTGTCGTTCTCACTCAGGGGGTGGGGTTTCAAGATCACACAGGATGAATGTTTTTCTTCTCCAAGCGGGCTATATGATCTCAAACAACAACCAAAAGTACTGAATTAAGCTAAAAAAACAAAATGTTCTGATCCCTTCACGTGTTCTGGCTGGTCTCCCGGCGAGCACAGAAAGGACCCAGAAGAGGGGCTGCCTTTCTGTCCGAGCCTCAGGTGCCACTGCTGGTCACCTTGGCCCCATGGAAGGCTGGCCTCCAGGCCACCCAGCTGTAAATGACGCCGCTCTGTATGGTTCCCATGCACAGCATCAGGCAAACTGATGGCATTGTGGCTTTCTTGTGTCTCTAAATTGTTCTGAGAACATACAAATTACACTTCAGATCTTCGCCCCAAAGTAAAGACAGAGAAGTTGGCCTACGTTAACACTGGGATGGACCATGAACTGGGTCATCTTACCCTCAAGGCAGGTGAGGGTTATGTGAGAACATTCCCGTAGGCATTCTTGAAAGCATCCAAAAGAACATGGCTACTGAGTCACAGTCAGGTGCTCCCAGTCTACACTCGAGACACCGTGGTCACAAGGAACTTAGGAAATCCCTCGAATGACAAAGGGCTGATTAGGTTTCTCCTCTTCAGCTCAGCTCACAAGCACTGAAGTGTCCTCACAGCAGCAGCTGTGCAACCTGGGCAACCCACACACTGCAACCAGCCCTGAGGGTGTTGGGCCGAGAGGGCAGCTGGCTAAGGGAGGGGTCTGGCCATATGGAAACAACTCAGTAAGAAAGTCTGGCAGGACAACTGCACCCCTGCACTTCTGCAGGAAGCGGGAATGCAGCTAGTTAGACCGCTGTGCACTCTCCCGCCCTCCGCATTGGCCAGGGACGCAGGCACCTGGCACCGAGCAGCCTGGTGTCGGGGCAGGAGGGGGCAAGGGGCAGAGCAGGGCGGCTGTGGCTGTGAGCACCAGCCACAGTGAGCTGGACTGTGTTGGAGGAGGGGCCAGGCCCACGTCCCACGGCCAAAAAATAAGGTCATTTCCCACAGCCGCACACCAAAAAACGCTCAGCCCCAACAGGGAAAATCGCCAGTGACCCGTGTCTGAAATCTCCAATCACATCATTTCCGATCGACTAGCAGAGCGTGGAGCCCGCCCAGGTACACAGAGGTGCACCTGAGCTTCCTTCCCCAACCTCACGGCAGCAAAGTGGCAGTGAAGGCGGTGCCAACCATGGGAAACATCTAAAGACCCTCCGAGGTCCACCCACCACCCCCAGATCAAGCCCCACGTGGACGCTGCCAGCCCCTAACCTGGGTCGAGCGCACCACTGGAACCTGCTTTTTCAAAAGCCCGGTTGCCTTTAGGCCTTGGACAACAATGTCAGCCTTTTTGAATCCTCGCCTACAAGTTAACTGGTTGGAAGTTCCCCTCCTGAGCTGGTTGACCGTCGGCCAGGAAGGGGAGCGGCCAGTGCCGGCTTTGCGCACAGAACCGCCACTGTCCCTACACCTCACCTACTGACATCAAGAGCTGGCTGAGCACGGGTCAGACTGGGAGACCTCTGCACGACCGGCTGTGCGGATGACAAGCCCTCACCCTTCATTGCTGCTGACCTGCCTGGCGTCACCCCGGCCACTGCCAGCTAGACAGACCCCACCCACAGGCCCAGAGGCCCCGCCTGACACCAGACACAGAGGCCAACGTGAATGCGGCCAAGAGACCAGGGTTATTTTAGTCACTGTTAGTGGAAACCATGCGCAGGCCAGACACTAGAGGCAGAACAGCATTTGGTTTGAGACTGGTTTTTAATCAGAAGTGCTCATCTTCGATCTGTGGGCGCTTTGCAATGCTGAGGGCCTCAGAGGGAGACGGTCCCTTGGCTCTGGGTAAAATACGCATTTTCTTGATTTTATTTAAACAATGATGAAACCTAGAGAGGAACAGCCTAGCCCAGCTGTCCTCCGTTTTCACGGTCCTCAAGGCTTTGTGGCCAGTCGTCACCGTTGGGGACGGCCATGCTTGGCACAAGAGAAAAACAGCCACGTTGTGAGAGGGAGGGAGCGGCCTCAGGCTCTGAGGCTCAGTCCTTCGAGAGACGCGGGAGCTGGGACCACGTTCCCACCCAACCCTGGGTCCTGCTGGAAGGGTCTGGGAGGGGGGCCTACGTGCCTCGGACGAGATGGCCGACAGTGCCCAGTGTGCCCAGGGCAGCCCCATGGAGCCTCTGGGGAGGCCCAGCCTGCGTTTCAAGGCCACGCACAGAGCTTGCTGCTTCTGTGATTCTGAGAGCAAAGGAAGGCCAGAGTCGCCAAATGTGCTGAAGCGGGGGCGGTGGGGGGTTGTTATTTTAGGAAAGGGCCGGTCAGGGAGAACGCTATCACGAGACACAGGCCACGTTTCATGGGACACCTCAGGCTGGTCACTACATGAAGGCACCAGAGAGCTGCCCCTTCCCTGGGGCCCCGGCCCCCAGAGTGAGGGCTCAGCGCAGTCCAGCCGACAAGGACGAGCAACTGGGAAGGAACAGAGTCCGTCCACCCCGGGAAGCCACACGCCCTGGTAGGCAGGTGCAGCCTGGAGGGAGGGCTGAACAGAACTCCAGCAGGTCTGTGCACAGGCACGTGCGGCTCCGCTCTTCAGGAGACAGCAAGATCAGAGCTCACAGGGGTCCCCAAATGAAGGGGTCAACATGACACAGGGACAATGCCAGCGGAAGGGTCAGCGCCAAGGGTCTGCATGCTGGAGGCTCCCCGAGGCTCCTGGTCTCCAAAGTGCGCTCCCTACGTGCAGCAGCGTCCAGAAAGCCCCCCCACCCCACCCCACTCCCGCAAAGGGGCGTCGCGCTCACCTGGCACAACCCCTTCTGCTGCTCCGCCCCTCTCAAGGGCGGCACCTGTGTAAACCAGGCGGGAGGAACAGACGCAGGTCATCTCAGAGGGTGCCCTGTCCTGGTTCTGAGACCAGCGGCTGCAGCTCAGGGTCTGACACCAGTGAGTGCGGGGCAGGGGCAGGGCGTGAACTAAGTGAATGCCTGTCTGAACTGCTGCAGTGAAGGTCTAGGTTCTAAAGCCTGAGAGAGGCCGGGCAGGCACACGGCACCGCAGGGACCGGGGTCGGGTGGTGCTTGCAGGGCCTCCAAGCTGCTGGAAGGCCTGCAGTGGCGTCCCCTAGTGACCCGTATCGCTGCCCCCATTCCACTGATTTGGAAACTGAGATCAGGGTGAAATGCCTTTGTCCAAAATCCAAGCAAGTCGGTAGAGAAGTGGGTCCCAAGCCTGACTCCCTGGAGCCCTTATTCTACACACAGTGCCCCACCTGCCCAGGCTGTGTCGAAGGCAGCAAGGCCCTGTGGCTCACTTCCCGCAGAGGGGATGGTGGAGCCCGCACACCTCACCCATGACCCCTTCCATCAGCTGGAGGCAACAGACTCTGTTGCGTTGTGAACCTCCCTGGAGGAGGATTTTGTTTTCCCTAGAAAATGGCCAATTTCTCCAGTTCAGTCACCTACATGCCCTGCAGCCCGTCCTCTAAGTCGGTTTGTTCTGGTTCTGTTGTTTGTTTCAGACATGCTCAGCTTCCCCATTGCTACTAGCAGATATGTGGGCGTCCACGGAAAGCGTCTGGGGAGGCCGCGCAGAGGCTCCTACGAGGAGGTGGGTGTTCCGGTCAGAGGCCGTGTCCCCTGAGCGCAAACTGCCGCCCGCCCAGCCCGGGCCGCCCACCGCGGGGCAGTGGGGTCATCAGGAGGCGAGGGACTGGATGTTCTTGAGCATTTCCTCGAAGGCCTGTGGGGACGGGGCGTCCGCATTCCGGAAGGCGGCCTGGACCCTGCTGTATAGGCTGAAGGACTTCAGCTCCAGCCAGATGAACCCAAAGCGATCCTCGTCGAACAGGACGAAGACCCCGGGGGTGCGCTCAGGGCTGGTGAAGCCGTGGCCGGCGATGAGGCCCGTGCCGTAGAAACTGAACAAGGACAAGAGGGAAAGCGTGGGGAGAGGGGATGAGCGGGGCCTCGAAGGCGCGTGCTAGCCCAAGCCCATCACCCGTGGTCCTGGACGTGCTGGAACATTCTCCATTCCATCTCCAGGCCACTTCCACCATCTGCCAGCAGCTCTGCACAGAGGTGGGGCCCTGCGCCTTCGGGGAGGCCGGCGTTCACCCCACACAGTCGGGCTCACCCCGCCGACCACTGCTCTCTCTCTACCAGCTCACCCAACGCAAGGACGAGGGTCCCAGGCAGCCCCACCTCGTATTCTCTATCCCAAAGTACATGTCTTTATGATGCAGACCCAGGTAACAGAAATCTCAATCCCTGGGACAGTTAGGTCCACGTACGAACAACTCAAATGTAATCAATAATGATTTACTGGCATGCAACTGACATTAACCAGAAGCAGAACTTTCAAATACCCATTACAGCCAAATTTTGAGACTCAGGCTGTAATATGTTTATTTCTTTCTTGCAAAGAACAGGTGACGAGGAGTTAGGGGCTGGCCTGAACCTCCCAATGCGTGGAATGGTGCCTGGGATGCCCACCTCTGCCCACCATGCTGAGGCTCTGCCTGGTGGGAGGGGGAGAGCAGCCCTGCACCTGAGGGCCCATGGCTCAGAGAGTTTCGGCGGGGGGGCACCAAGCTTAGATACACAGAGACCTGTGTTGCGCAGGCACTGTGGCAGTGCCAGAGAACGCATGCACCCCTCCTGGCCGAGCCCCTGATGTTTAGCACCGGGTGGAGGACCATCCCATGACACAGCCGGGGGCTGGGCCAGAGCTTCCAGGCTGGCGCTGCCAGAGGGCTCTGAGCTGGCCCTGAGATGCTGCAAGTTGTCAAGTTTCCCAGGGATAACAAAGCCTTTTCCTTTATGACCTTTCAAAAATTCACACATTCACTATGTGTACATCTCCCTCCAGAAAACCCAAATTCAGCCTCTTTTATCACAACTGTATTAACATGAAGAAAATGTAATGAATTTTTTCCATCAAGTCCAGGCAGACACCTAAATTCCCCTTGGGGAGCTCGGTGTGCACCCGCCTACATGTGAAAAGCCTAGGAGACCACTGCAGGCACACGAGAGGCAGCAGATGGCCCAGAGGTAAAGAAAGAAACCTTCACACGTAACGTGACAAAGGCAGAGACAAGTCGGCTGTAATAATCTGCCAGGAGACTGACAGGTTCCTCCCTCAATGAACCCCAAGGTGACTGTCCGTGAGAACTCCCTATGGCAATGGAATGTTCTAGACCTGCACTGTCCAACACAAGAGTGGCTACTGAGCACCTGAAATGTGACCAGTGTGCCTGAGGACCTGAATTTTTCATTTTATTCTCTGTAATTAAACTAAACAGCCCTGGAGTGCGGGGGACCGGGGCAGGGCGTGCATCTCTAAGACAGGACTGTGCAAACAGCACGCCAAGTGAGGAGCTAGCAGCAGCGGGCAGGCCCTGTCCCAGACCGGGGCCCACGGCCTCTGTGGGGAGGCTGTTAGAGCCGGGGAGAAACCACACGAAGAAATGAGGAGGCGGTGAGACCCCAGGACAGGCCTTCCCTGCAAGGCCGTCCACGACGCCGCGAGCAGGCTTTCCAGGGGAGGCGCGGGGAGGGACTCCACGGCCTGCTTTCAGTGCTGCCCGACGTCTCACCTGTCTGCCTGTCTACCTTTGACCTCAGCGGCTGTGCAGTGAGAGACGTTGGGGAGGAGGCCCCCTGCCTGGTAGCTGAGGCCACCAGAGGGGTGAGGGGACAGGAGCCTCACAGTCTGCTCGGCCTGAGCTGGGACCCGGCCCAAGTAGGCAGAGCTTCCCCACCGGTGCAGGGCCCCCAGCGCGGGGTCGGCCCCACCCCAGGCCACCTCCCTGCCGGTCGGGCAGAGTCCCCTCCAGGAAGCCCCGTCTTGCCCGCCCCACGGCATCCTTACCACATCCTGCAGGTCCGGGGATAGTCCTCGTTCCTCGAGCTCACGCCCACCGGCAGCACAAACGGCTGCCCCTGCCCCGACTGGGCGGGCGGCTCAGCCGCGGCCTCGGCCCCTCCATCCCCGGGCCCCTTGGCCTGCTCGGCGGGTGGCTCCGCGCAGGGCTGGGGGCTCTGCTGGCCGAGGCCCGCGGCGTCCTCGGGCCCACCTTCCTGCTGCTGCTCCTGGCGCACCTGCTCGTGCACCTCCAGGACGATGCGCGAGAGCTCGTTAAAGTCGCGGAGGCTCTCAATGTCGGGCAGGTGGATGCGGTGCCTGAGGTCGATTTCTACCGTCTGCTGCCCGGCAGGGATGTTGGGGTCACCCTGCGGAGCCAGCGGGCGGCGGTCAGCAGGCTCAGAGACCGCGGCCTCCAGCCCCGGTCACACCTCCGGCCGAGGGCGCTTGCTCAGCCTTCCTACTGATTTGGCGGCAACCCCTTACAAGTCAGAAGATCCTAGAAGCCTTCTAAAAAGCAGCACCCAGCACAGGCAGCCTTCTGTGAAGGACCTCTGAGGACAGGGAACAACAGCACCCACGAATGACCCTGGGAGGGCCCGCAGGCACATCTGCACCAAAAGACCTCAGGTGGGAGCCAGCCTGCGTGACAGCTGAAGAGATGCGCGGCCTAGAGAGGTCCACGGACCCTCCCTGGTCAGACAGGGGACAGGCCGGAAACACCAGCCCAGACTGTCTGCCTGGAACATGAAAGCTCCCCAGCATGAACCTGGGAGAACGCCCAGGCCCCACGGCCTGGTCCCAGGCCCTCGTCCACAGGGAGCCCGGCCGACCGAGCTGCGAGCAGTGCCCTGTGAGGACCAGGAAGAGGCCTGCTCTGCGCCTCCACAGAGACTCCCCCGCCACACCTGCACAGCAACAGGCGAGCACGTGGATAGCAGCCCCTAGAGCGGGTGACAGAGGGCCTGTCATCCGGGACCCCCACTCAGCTCAGAAATCCTCCCACTGCGTTCCCGAGCTGCTGAGGCCAGGACAGGCCACGGGGGCCGGAGTGCTAATGCAGAGGGAGTCCACCATGGCCACACCTCAGGGTCACCCAGGGAGCTCCTGGAGCCCCTCACCCGGCCCACCCCCATTAAATCAGAATCTCCGGGATGAGGCCCCAGCATCAGTGTCTCCTCCACCTCCCCAGGGATCCAGGGTGTGGCCACGGCTGAGAGCCGTGTGGTAAGTCTGCCTTGGAAACGTTCAGAATCGCCGGGGATCCTGTGGAAGGCAGGCCCTGGATCAGCAGGTCAGGGTGGGGCCTGCGTTCCCAGCAAGCTCCCCGGGCAAGCAGTGCCACGGTCTGGGGCCCACACTGAGCAGCCAGGGTGCGGCCCGAGTCACACCACGCCACGCCGATGTGATGGAGTCCACACGGTGCTGGGCCTGCCAGGGCAGCCCCTGGACTCACCGTGATCTTCGTGCCCCTGGCGTGCTTCCCGTGGAAGCTGAGCATGACGATCTCCAGGCCGTGGCTGCCGTAGGTGCCCTTGAAGAGGCCAGGCCTGATCAGGTCGTCTGGGTGGCTGGGCGGGAGGTAGATGCGGCGGTAGGTCAGGCAGTTGCTGCAGGGGGAGCGGGCAGCATGAGAGCTCGGCCACAGAGCCGCACGGGAGCAGGGGCAGGAGTACAGAGCTCATGCACCTCCGGCCACGCCGCATAGGGCGGGCTGGGCAGGGTGGCCCAAGGCAGCCAGGGTTAGCTCCCCACGAAAGGCACCCCTCGTTCCTGAGCTATGCTCCCCGCAACTCACATGTGCACAGCACACCTCACACCTTCTCCATCATGCTGGGGCAGGGACCCATGAGACTGCAAAGGGGCTAAAAAGGGGCCATGGGACAGGGTCCAGGGGCAGAGGGCACGGCAGCAGGGAGGCTAAGAGGCCCCCCAGGTGGACATGGGAAAGCAACTATGAAGCTCTAACACACAGGCCAGGCCCGTGACAGCACACGGCTGGCGGGTGATGATAGTCCAACAGACAGAAAACCGACACCGAGGTGGGTCTGCAGACAGGGAGTGTGCTCACAGTACCCTGAGAAAAGGACCATGTTCACAGTACCCAGAGAGGGACTGTGCACACAGCACCCACCGAGAGAGAGCCTGTGTTCAGAGTACCTGAGACAGAGGCCACTCACACCCAGCGAGGGGCTGCACTTACTCGTACTGACTGGTGTAGATGAACTTCATCAGGATGAGCTCCTGCATGTGCTCGTGGAAAATGTCCTCCAGCGTCCGCCCCCATTCTTCCCTCAGCCACGTGCGGAATTCCTTCGAGAGAATACAGGTCACAAAAACCGCCACAACACTAGGGCTCGGAGAGGCTGTGATGCTGAGTGCATGGGATGAAGACAGAGGCCGGGCAGGAGGGAGGGGAGCTGCTGTGTGTTTGGTCTCCCAGCTCCTGGCCTCCCTTCCTGTTGAGGCATGGCGCCAGGGGCTCTGGTCGCCACTCCCCCCACCCGACTTCAACAGGAAGGAAGTGCAGGGACCGTGGGGGTCCTTCAGGGAGGATGGGGCCGCAGCCCATGTCGAGAGCACCTAGGAGGCAGCTGTGCAAGCCTCGCTTCTGTGCCACCCACAGAGGTGGCGTCTACACTGAGCCTGGTTCTCAGGTTTCTGGGGGAGTGGGCACAGCAGACCCCCGTGCCAGCCAAGTCAGCAGAATTGCTTTCTGCAGCCACCAATGAGGAACAGGATAGGGACAGGCGGGGCAGAGAGTGTGGGTGGATTTTCCTTTTTAAAATGTGCCTTCAGGGCTTCCCTGGTGGCGCAGTGGTTGAGAGTCCGCCTGCCGATGCAGGGGACAGGGGTTCATGCCCCGGTCCGGGAGGATCCCACATGCGGCTGGGCCGGTGAGCCATGGCCGCTGAGCCTGCGCGTCCGGAGCCTGTGCTCCGCAACGGGAGAGGCCACAACGGTGAGAGGCCCACGTACCGCAAAAAAAAAAAAAAATGTGCCTTCACTGGGATTGACATATACACACTACTATACATAAAATAGATAAGTAATAAGGACCTACTTGTATAGCACAGGGAACTCTACTCAATACTCTGTAATGATCTATATGGGAAAAGAATTTTTAAAAGTGTGTATAACTGATTCACTTTGTACAGCAGGAAATAACACCACATTGTAAATCAATTATACTTCAATCAAAAATGTTTTAATAAAGTAAAATAAAATGTGCCTTCACAGTTATGTTCAGTAAGTATATTTGTAAAAAGAAAACTTTTATGAATACCTCATCCGCAAAGCCCAATAATTCATCACGGAATCAAACAATGAAGGATATTTAGTGCTTAACAGTTTCATTCTGTACACCTAACATAACTAATCCACAGCTCTAGGATCCTAACTCAACACAGTGTTTCTAATGAATATCTAGAATTAGCTCTACAAACAGAAGCAAAAGCAATTTACAAAAAAAAAAAAAAAAAAAAAAAAAAAAACAAAAACCTGGGGCTTCCCTGGGGTAAAAAAAATTGAAATTATCCTTAAAAAAAAAAAAAAAAAAAATTTAAAAAAAAAAAAAAAAAAAAAGAAAAAAAAAGCTACAATCTGGGGCTTCCCTGGTGGCGCAGTGGTTGAGAGTCCGCTTGCCGATGCAGGGGACACGGGTTCGTGCCCCGGTCCGGGAGGATCCCACATGCCGCGGAGCGGCTGGGCCCGTGAGCCATGGCCGCTGGGCCTGCGCGTCTGGAGCCTGTGCTCCGCAACGGGAGAGGCCACAACAGTGAGAGGCCCGTGTACTGCCAAAAAAAAAAAAAAAAAAAAAAAAAAGCTACAATCTGTCAATTGCTTTAATATGTTACTGCCCAAACCCTGGCAAAGAAGAGAAATTACTAGTGACTGAAATAAACAACTATTAGAACTACAAGGTCAATATATAAAATTAACTGAATTTTTGTATACTAGCAGCACAAAACTGGAAAGTAAAATAAAAACTTAAAAATCCTACTTACAACAGCCTCAAAAGACATAGGACTTAGGAATAAACATTACAAAACGTGTGATGCCTCTACTCCGAAAACCACTAGATGCTGCTGAAAGGTGGGGGAAGAGGCCTACAGAGCAGAGGCACCTGAGAACCGGGAGACTTGGTATTAGGTCAGCAACTGTCTCCAAACCGATCTACAGACAACATCAGGCCCATCGTAATCCCACGATGCTTTCTGTAGAAACTGACAAGCTGATTCTGGAATTCGTTTGGAACATCCAGAGCAATCTTGCAAAAGAACAAGGTTGGAGGATGTACACTAGCATGCACTGTGACCCAATACAAGACGACAGTAACCGAGATGGTACCTGAGCAAGAGGGCAGAACTGAAGACAGAGCCTGGAGGGAGCTCCCTGGTGGCCTAGTGGTTACGATTCCGGGCTTTTGCTGCCATGGCCTGGGTTCAATCCCTGGTCAGGGAACTGAGATGCCGCAAGCCGTGCGGCCAAAAAAAAAAAAAAAGAGAGAGAGAGAGCCTGGAAACACCCACGTGTGTCTCAGGAGTGGACTTTCGATCACAGCATCCAAGCCACCTCCCAGGGAAAGAAAGTCTTTTACACAAATGGTGCTTGAACAACTGCACAACCACAGGGAGCAAAGGAGCCCCGATCCCCACCTCACACCACACACAGGAACCATTCAAGATGGGTCACAGACCGAAAAGTAAAGTGAAGCTACCAAACTTCTAAAAAGAAGAGAGAGAGAGAGACACAGACACTCTCTTTGCAACAGGAGGGTAAGCAAAGTTTTTTAAGACAGAAAACGATAACCACTAAGGGAAAAACTTGACAAATTAGACTTCACCCAAATCAAAATCTTCCACTTAAGTGGCTTAACTCATGAAGGGTAGGCCCTTAAAAAAAAATCAAATAGAGAAATAACAGATAAAAATGGAAGTAAAAGAATGTAGTGATTTCAGTGCTGCCGTGGTGCATAATCAGACTTGAGCTAAACACCATGAAGCTGGCCTGTGAACAATCATAATCTTATTTACTTTGCATGAGACGGTCAGTCATTAAGAATACCAAGCAGACCCAATTACTCAGAACAAGTATGCTTACTATGAAATTATCTTACCAGATATGTATCCACAAGGAAAAACACAGGGGCCTAGAACGTATCAGACAGGACTAAGTCCACTATGGACCCAGGGCTCGTCCACCACGGCCAACACCGCCCCATCACGGCTTCACTCTGCACAGCGGCCTAGGAGCTGGGTGCTAACATCTTCCCTGTTCTACAGAGGTTTGGGGCTTGGAAAAGTCAACAGACCTTTCCAGAGCCACCCAGCTAGCAGGTGGCAGAATTAAACCTAACCAAAGGCCACGTGCTAACCAGTCTCATCTCCGCCAGGGCCAATGCCAAGGCTGGCAGGAACGTGGTGAGGCAGGGGGCTCACGTGCCCCTGGTGGGCTGTAAACGGGGACCAGCAAACTGACAGCATGTAAAGAGAATTTGGAATATCTTCAGGGCCTTTTACCCAATTCCATTTCTGTACAATCCAAAACCACAAGGTTTTTGCGGAGTTCAGTCAGCGGGTCACAGTAATAATGCCTGGCATCTCTCCTGGGCGGCTCCGACCAGGTTGGACATTAAGTCATTTAGTGTCTTACTCAACCCTCCAGAATCACTCGGCACCGCAGGTAACCTCATGGCCCCATTTTACAGACAAGGGCTGAGGCTCCCAGAGACTAAGTCAGTGAGTCACATGGTCAGGAGGGTAACAGGGGAATATCTGACCACAAACCTCAAGTCCAACTGGAGGATGGTCACACACCCACAGTCATTACAGCGCAGCAGATGACAGATGGAACGCTGCATTAAAAATAAAGTTTGTAGGGACTTTCCTGGTGGTCCAGTGGTTAAGATTCCACATTTCCAATGCAGGGGGCACGGGTTCAATCCCTGGTCAGGGAACTAAGATCCTGTATGCTGCGCAGTGTAGCCAAAAAAAAAAAAAAGTTGGTAAAGAATTCTAATGAGACTGGGAAATGTTTCTGGAATAACGGTTAAGCTAAAAAAAAAAAAAAGAAAAACTATCCAAATTAGATAGTTAGACTGTAATTACATCACGAAGGCTGAGGGAAACATGAAGGGAGGCCGGAGGACGGGCACGGGGGGCCGCGCCTTGTGGGGCTGTGTCAGCACGCTTTCCCTCCTGAGTCTGAGGATTTCGGATCTGATGATGACGAGGTATCATTTTAGGAATGTGGCGAGAAAGTACATAAGACAAAGGAAAGCAAAATAAAAGCCACTTGTGTGCAACTGAGGGGAGTCCAGCGCCAGAGCCTTCTGCAGGGCCGAGCAACCGCAGGTAGGGCCAGGCCACACGCCCTTCCCTACCTCTGCTCCCCCTCACAGCGCCCCCGCCCCCCCCCGATTTCCAGAAGCCTCAGGCAGCAGGGCCTGGGCGGCACGGGCAGGGAGGGAGGCTCCAGGAAGGAGAGCAGGCAGCGTCTGCAGCGCGAGACAGAGAGCAGACGCGCTGCTGGGGTCGGGGCAGGCGGAGGCCTGAGCTGCGCTCAAAGGCCCAGGAGGTGAAGCTGCGGTTTGAGCAGCACAGGGAGGGCCCCCAGGAGGGGCAATGTAAGGAGCGAGCAGCACACCCCAGTCCTGAGGGGCCAGATCCCGCCGCAGGACGTGGCCTTGGAAGGTACACAAAGCTGGCAGAAGTCCCAGAACTGGGGACTGGGGCGGGGAATGGGGTGGTTGGCAAGCCTCAGGATGCAGCTTATGCAGAGCTGGCCTTGGGTGTTGACGAAGGGATCACCCCTGCCCAGCCTGCAGGGGCTGGGGCGGGCATCTGCACATCTCTCCATGGTACCAAGGACAGCCTTCTGCCTGGAGACAGTGATAAGCAAGGCCCGTTCACCTTCCTACCCTCCTAGGCCACCAGGAGTCCTCCATTCCCTTGGGAAGCACCCGTGTGGCCCAGAATTTTAGGTGACTATCAACCAGCAGAGCACAGAGCAGCCCAGAATCCGGGGCCGAGACTTTCACCTCTCCTTCAGAGCTGTCAGGACATACGGCAGTGCCCACCTCATGGCTCCTCCTCTCTCCCTGGAGCCTGAAGCCACGCTCTGGGTCTGAAAGACTCAGCTACAGAGTGAAGATGTTTCAGGCTGACACAGGAATCCATGGGAGAGCTCGTCCCCCAGTCCCCCAGCTCCCCCCTTGGAGGGCGAGAGGGAGGGAGACGGGAGACGGCACAAGGAGCCAGCAAAGTGGCCCCGGGCAACTGAGATGGACAGAGTGACTGTGCCTCACACAGCAAGCCCCCCTGCCCCCATAACTCTAGGATGGATCCCTTGGCACCTCAGGCAGCCCAGCCCCTGCTCTGCCTGCAGACGTGCGGCATCTCCCCACCCCAGACTGGCAGGAGTTCCAAGTCCACTATTAAATGATTCCGAGGCCTAGAGAGAAAAGAAAGGCTCCCCAGTTCTAGAAGCCAGCGAAAGACTGCTCCTAAAGCCAAAGACAGCACAAAAACTGTTAGACCAAAAGCCCGTTCATCAATGCAGAAGTCCTAAATAAAACAGGACCAGGAGCAGAGAGAACTGTACCCCACGATCAAACAAGCTCTCTTCTCACGACTTCAAAGTGGTTAGAAATCTATTAACATAAGTCATCACATTACTATATTAAGGGGAAAAAAATCACCTGATAGTTTCCACAGATGCTCAAAAAAACTGGTAAATTCAACATCATTTCTCAATTAAAACAAAGCCCTCTTAATAAAACACGAATAAACAGCTCCATCTCTAGCATAATAATGTATATCTTGACCCCAAGGCCACCCTGCTGCCTCGTGACAGGACCATGTGAACGACACCCACCACTAGACAAGGGTGTTGTCCTCACCACAAGGGGCCAAGGAGGAAGGAAATGTCATTACTTGCAGATAATCAGTACTATCCTGGAAAACTCAAGGTAATCAACTCAAAGATGCTCATAAATGAAAGAGAAGGCAGTAAGCTGGGTGGGTACAAAATTAATATGCAACAGCTTTTATATATAAAATCACCAGCTGAAAGATACGAGAGCCAAGAGTCCATTTACAACAGCAACAAAAGACCAGACGCTTTACAACAAACGTGCAAGATCTATCTGAAGAAAATCAAATTCAAATGGCAGCACCGGACAAAGGTGGCGTTTTGAATCATAGAGAAAACCTGCATCACTCAGCACCAGTGCCGGGGTGACTGAGGGGTACCTGCACTACAGCCAAGGCGGGCTGAAGCTCACTCTACAGAATAAACCCACAGAACCAGCGATAAATGTGGGAAAGAAATGCATGAAAATGAAAACACGAGCGCGTCTGTAAGTATAATTTCAAAGCGGGGAAAGGATTTTAAGATGACATCAAACTAAGAAGCTATTCACGGGCTTCCCTGGTGGCACAGTGGTTGAGAGTCCGCCTGCCGATGCAGGGGACACGGGTTCGTGCCCCGGTCCGGGAAGTTCCCACACGCCGCAGAGCGGCTGTGCCCGTGAGCCATGGCCGCTGAGCCTGCGCGCGTCCGGAGCCTGTTGCTCCGCAACGGGAGAGGCCACAACAGAGAGAGGCCCGTGTACCGGAAGAAAAAAAAAAAAAAAAAAAAAAAAAAAAAAAAAACTAAGAAGCTATTCAGGAAGGGGAACTCCCTGGCGGTCCAGTGGTTAGGAGTCTGCGCTTTCACTGCCCAGAGCCCAGGTTTGATCCCTGGTCGGGGAGCTAAGATCCCGCAAGCCACACAGTGCAGCCAAAAAAAAGGAAAAGACAGACACAACTGCAAATATAAAAATTAAAAACTAAATTCTACAAGTGAAAACATACCTCATATCAAACCAAAAGACAAAAAAATGAAGGAGGAAAACATATTTGCATCTCATATCTTGCAGGGTTCACTTCCTCACAGGATGAAAGCTCCTACAAATCAGTTAGAAACATAACACCACCAAACAGAACCAGGCAAAGGATATGAACACAGATTTCACAGAAAAGGAGCCACAGGACACTAATCTTAGCCTCAGACATAAGAGAAATGCAAATTAACCACCAAAGTCAGGATTCCAACAAAGCATTTTATTCTCACCTTAACTTCTAGGTGTTTTTCTCGTTTCCACAAGGAGCATGTTATTACCTTCATAACGAGAAAAAACACCATTCCGTCTCCAAATTGGTGAGGCCGCACACGGTAGTTGGCTCACAGGAACTTTCTCTGATCCCAGAGTGTGTATTTCCGGAAATCCATTACCTGGCCCTTTTAAGGTCTCAACAGCTGAGGAGGTTCTATTCTTGGAAAATACGTTGTTGACGTTTCACTTAAACGTGGACTTGGAACAGCCACTGATGTGTATGTGGTCGTATGTGAGGCCGTGAATGACAGTGTTATTAGGGAAGGAAGCGCGTCATTACCATCACCTTCACATACCATGCATTCGGGAAAACAGGGGCCTCGTTTACCCTCAACAGATTCCAAGCAGCACATGTGTACTCTCCATCTGCGCTGTCTCCCCGCAGACACCTGGCTACCAGGGACCCAGCAGACTCAGAAACGCTAAGAGATGCACCCGACAAATAAACGCAAGCTGCAACGAGCATCCTGTATTTAGAGGTCCGAGGTTTCCCTAAGAATGTTTCGAGACGGTGGTGTAACTAAAACTCAAAGGCGATGTGAGATTACTCATGTGGAAAGGAAACCCAAAGACACTCACGCAGGCTCACCCACCACACGGCTGTGACCTGGGAACCTCCACCACGGGCTTCACACCAATGAAGGCCTCTGGTCTCCCTGCGATTCACATCCGGGCAGAGACCCCACCGCCCACGGGCCTCTTGTCAAAGGGGCGATGGAGAACCAGCTGGAGAACTATTTCTCCTCAGCCCGTCCATCCTGGGGGTGGCGGGGACGCGGGACCCGGGCCCAGCGTGCACGCCCACAGCGCCAGCACGGGCCCGGGGGGCGGCCCTCCCTTCACAGCACCCGCCCCCTCGGCTGCCCCCAGGACAGGAGGGCCCGGCTCACCTCCTGCCTCCCGCCGGGCATCCTGTGGTGGCCCGTCTGGCTGCACTTGGTGGAGAACTCGTCCTTCTTCACGACCTTGAGCGCAGCAGCAGGGAGAGAACGGGCAGCGGGTCAGCCCCAACCCCGCCAGAGCAGCCGCGCACACCACCCACCTACAGGAGCCCAAGAGGCCGCCAGATGGCGGCCGCTCTGAGAAGGAAGGTGGAAGCCCCCTGAGCACACGCTTCCCTCCCAGGGGGCCAGGAGCCGCTGTCCCCCGGGGCGTCCGAGAGCAGCACAGAGGGGCTGGCGCTCTCCTACTGAGACAGAGAACAGGCTTGCTCTCGGGCTGGCCACCCGCCAGGCCCACATCCGAGAGCAGAACGTCTGGTTCCAAGCTGATGCCCGTGCGAAGAGGAGGAAAAGGAGCAGTGAGGAATCTCGCTTGGAAGGACGATTGGTTCTAACGAGAGGCAGAATCGGGGGAGGCTCCGGCAAGTGAATCTCTGAGGAGCGACAGCGGCATAGACAGCACACAGAAGGGCCAGGCCAGGGCCCGCTTCCCGGTCCTGCTGGCCGGCACGGGCGTGGTGCACAGCTGGGAAGACCCTGGCAAACAGCTGGCAGCAGGCCCGGGACGAAGTGAGGAGACCCAGCCCCTTACCTGCACACGCTGCCCCGCGTGCTCACCTGGACGTGGCCATTGTGGGGCCCCCTGTGGCCGTACATGCACTCCACTGTGGCCGACTTCCTCTCCATCAGGTGGATTCGGAACAAGGGCTTGAACCGCATCGGGTCGTCCACATGAGGGTCGTGGGGAGGCAGGTACATCCAGCCAATGATGAACAAGCCATCCACCTGTGCAGAGGTCCACACACAGCTGAGGGGGAGGCGGAGGCTCAGCATCCACACCCCCCAGATCACCACGAGGACCATTCCCGTCTCCACACTCTGGTCCCGCGGGGACCCTGGGGCCCCACCTAGCGCAGCAGGACGAGCACGGCCCCGCCCACCAGTGTGTGTTCATCGAAAAGTGGTTTACGCAACATGAAACATGGTGACTAAAGTTGATAACGCTGCTATATCACTGAAATCTACTAAGAAATAGAACTCAGGGCTCTCCCCACTCCTCAAAAAAAAAAAACATGTGAGGTGATGGGTACGTTAATTAACTAGACGGGAGAATCCTTCCACGGTGTACTTGTACATAAAATCAGATCACCACAATGTACGTTTTACATATCTTACTACAGTTTTGTCAATTGTACCTAAATAAAGCTGGAAAAGTAACTAAATGTTTTAATAGAAAATATAGTGGTTAGCCCCAAATCCGAGCAAACCTTTTAGAGAGAACTTCCAGCTATGAAGTGGGGGTGGGTAGGTGCCAGGAGCACAAGCTAAAAGACATAAGAAAGAAGCAGGA